AAGGGTTCACGAAATATGACTACTACTCTTACTGTTTAACATTTTGGGTTACTTAATGTTACTTCATGTTAAGGCTAATAAAAATGACAAGGCTGTAATGCTAACTAACGTGCTAGCTACTAGCTAGGTAGCTAACTTGATCAAGCCACTCCTGGTCGTTTCATCAGACGGGAAGCAAAAGAACGAGCAAGACCCATTGCTGGTATAATAACAACCTGGTACTAAGCACACAGGCATCTTGTTAAAGTTATCTTATCTTAGCCAGCGCCATATAGATAGATTATATCTATATTGCGCTGATCTTAGGTATCTGAATGGTGGAGGTAAACAATTGTGACATCACTTACGCGACTCTGGGATTTGTAGTCTTTCTAGTTACGTATTTTTCATAGTCTTATATTTCAACAGTTTTACGACAAACTGTGACTTTTTTGACATGGAAATGATTTTTTAAGATTGACAAACATCATATGTGTAATTCATGGCACAATTCAAACGGGATCGAAAGATACGTTTTCTCTCCCCATTGACTTCAATGCATAACTTTTCCGGAATAAGGTCCCATACCCCGGAAGTAAGTGGGAGGGACTTCGCCACTCTATGCCGATGGCAGGGGTCTTTGGCCAATAGGTGGTGCTCTGAATTATGTCATTTCCTGTACCGATTATACAATAAAATATTAATACATTTCCTATATTTTGACACAATAACTATTTAATAATCTAAGTAGCCTACAGACAAAAACAAAAAAGTATATATTGCCTTATAAAATGCAGAAAAGTGTAAACATCAAGCATGATAATAATAAAATAAAAGACTAATGATATCTTAAACCTTAATAAATAAAATGGAAAATTAACCGACAACAACAATTTAACATAAATAAAACAAGGATTAAAACAAGGATAAGTTTGACTCAATGTTGTGTAAAGTACCCGTTATGGTTAAAAAATTAATAAAAGAAAAAAAAAACATTGAAAATAATACAGCTTCCGGTTTCCGACGGTCTCCCTTCTCCTGGCAAATATCCTAAACCTTAATAAATAAAATGGACAATTGATCGACAATAACAATTTAACATAAACAAAACAAGGATAAGTTTGACTCAATGTTATGTAAAGTACCCGTTATGGTTAAAAAAAATAAACATTAGAAAATAATACAGCTTCCGGCTTCCCGAGACACGAAGAGGAGACACGAACAATTCTTCCACTTAAAATGCATTACTTTGAAAATCGTGCTTTCTGACACGAAAGAAACGTGTGCATAAACACCATATCCCTACGTGCATTGCGGCTAAAACATCCAATCACCGCTGAGGATTATTGAAAAATCCTAAATCTGTTTCTGGTATTGTTTTGGACTTTATTTTGAAATTCAGTTCCTGACAGACGTCAAAAAAGCCCGAGATTATCGAATTAAACCAATAAATAAAAACAAGGATAATTGTGTGTTATTGTTGAGTAAATAACAGTGTGTTATTTTGAAAAGAATAACAAATTAGAAGGAAAAAAAGATTTTAAAAATACAGATTTCAGTATCCTGAGGCTCTGAGCCCCATTTCTTTTCCTCACAGACGGCAACAAAAGTCCGAAATGATACGATTTTAAATAAAAGCAATAATCGTGGCTTGATATTGAGTAACAACATGTTTTTATGAACCACACAGCTTCCGGTCTTCCACGACCAGACCGAGAAAAAGACGTGTTGACTTTATTTTGAAATTCAGTTCCTGACGGACGTCAAAATAGCCCGAGATTATCGAATTAAACCAATAAATAAAAACAAGGATAATTGTGTGTTATTGTTGAGTAAATAACAGTGTGTTATTTTGAAAAGAATAACAAATTAGAAGGAAAAAAAGATTTTAAAAATACAGATTTCAGTATCCTGAGGCTCTGAGCCCCATTTCTTTTCCTCACAGACGGCAACAAAAGTCCGAAATGATACGATTTTAAATAAAAGCAATAATCGTGGCTTGATATTGAGTAAGAACATGTTTTTATGAACCACACAGCTTCCGGTCTTCCACGACCAGACCGAGAAAAAGACGTGTTGCAGGCACGAAACACATTGCCAATAGAAATACATTGCCTTTAAAATCGTTCTGTGTGACACGAAAATAAGGGGATAATCGTGGTGGTGCACACGAATCAATAGATTAAATAACGTGACTATAACACGAAATGCCGTGAGACTGGGTTGGATGGACGCCATTTTGAAATACAATTGAATGATCTTTTTCAAAGACACATATATGGGGTGGGACACAATAAATAAAGCTTCGCCAGTTTCATGGTGTCATGATGGTATCAGAATAATCACTTACATGTGATGTATAGGATGCTACACAGGTCACCATAAAGTGTCAGGAGAAATAAGCAAGATACATTTTCTGTTTAATCGCAATGTAGGTTCTCTTTTATTTATCAGCAGCAGATCAATAAGTGTCAGTAGTATCAAAACAATATAATAACAGGGACACAACGACATCCTGACTGCAGTGGGGTTTGAACCTGTGCTCCCCTGATCCGAACACCAACGCACCAGACCACTGCACCACACGCCTCCCAACAAGTCATTGTACAGTTTATCAACGACGACAAGTTTTTCTTAATTTTGTATTGAAGGCCTGTTGGATTTAATCAGCTCGCTTAGCACTGCCAGAAGCCCAGCCTGAAAGGTATTTTGTTGCTCCACCTGGCGCGCCGACATCTCCACCTGGCGCCGCCGAGTCAGCATGGCGCTGCATCAACATGAGCAGCTGGTCGTCCGATTCCTGGGCCTTGTGTGAATGCAGCAGCCGTTCGTCGTGCATCTCCTTGGCACGCAGGTCCTCATTCTCCTTGCTGACCATGGCACGGCAGTCCATGGTGTCAAGGAAGCTGTCATCGCGTGCCCACTTTCCTAAGGTGAAATATGCAAGATACAAGATCAGTTTAATCGCAAAAACGACACAACATTGTCCAAATACCAGAAGGGGAGCAGCCCATAACAGAGAGCCCCCCACGTCAGAGTCATCACTGTGGGCGATCTCCACCTCTGAGGCCCAATCCCAAACCACTCCCTCGACCCTACCCCTCCGTGACGGAGTGAACTCCGTCTGTAGCCACACTCGCAGCTCAACGAGGCTCCCTCCTGTCAGATGGAGGGAGTAAATACAGCGGCAAGCTTTTGGGACAAACTCCCCTCTCTCCGGCAGAAACAGGAAATGCCGTAACTGTATGTAACAACGGTTTCAAATCAGTATTGAGTAGGTAAGCTTTGGATAAAAGCGTCTAACAAGTGACATGTAATGATTCAAAAAGCTTTTGGTGGCCATATTGAATAACAAACCAATGTGGTTTACTTGTTATCCACAGTTTAGCTGCTAAATGTTACCTTTACAAAGCTACGCTGAAAACACAGCAAAGTTCATATAACGGTATTAGGTTAGTTGAAACTAATATTTTTATAGTTAAACTCAACACTTTTCTTTGTGCTCCACATATCTAAATGTATAAAGTGTGTTTTCACCTCCGTTCCCTCCTGTTTGCTGCAGTATGGCAGCAGCGGTCAGGATGGGATCCTCTGTGATCAGATAGTGGTCCTGATGGTGTCCGCTGACCGGGCGCAGGCTGCCTACTCTCAGCGGGGGGGAACTGAACGTGGAAACTGTGTTTCTCTGAGGGATCCTCCATGTAGTCTGAGAAGCCTTCTGAGGAAACAAGGTCAAACTATTTAGGATAATACTATGAGAAGGAACAATGTTAAGCCAGTAAATAGAATTTCAATTACATTTCTACTTAAATGTGCAAAAATATTAGAACATCAGTCTTTGTGGCATGCAGGTAATCAACTGTTTAAGCTTTTACCATTAACATGTAGAATGAATGTTGCAAATTACTTGAAATTAGAGCAACTACAATATATTGTTTACCTCAGTGTAGCCACACAGGTCCAGCTAGCATGCTAATTGCTAACGTTATATTATCGAGTTATCCCGGAGGGGAAAACTAGTTTCTAATCCTGAGAGAAACACCTCGCCTGAAACACACGATTAGTGCCATGAGTTAGTGAAGCAAATTACAGAACATTGCACACTTATTCACAAGTCAAAACGTGTTCATAGCGGGCATGGATGAGAATAGCTAGCTAGCTAGATGTTATTAGCCAGCTTGGACCTAACGTTAGCAAGTTCTACCGTGGCTAGCTCGATCTACTGAGCAAATAAAAGTACATCTAAGACCAGTATTGTGCAGATTAAAACAGTGCAGTGCATGTATTTTATTTTACCTTGGTAGTCGTCCCGACATGACTTTGCCAGGTCTGCTAACTTTGCTGATCCACGGAAACTGCATTCAGTAGAAGCTTCGGAATGTGGCGCTTCGCGTCCTCCGAGTCAATCGCCAGAAGCGCAGACACATCCTCATCCTCATCACTCCACCGCTCCAATTGATTTATTTAGTGTTGCTATAATAACTGCTTTCACAAAAGGAATCTCTTCGTGTGTGCTGCGAAGCGAGGAAATACAATGGCCGCTTACAACAAAAAATTCGGAGTCAAACGGGCGTGGTTTGCATTCCGCACAGCCAATCAGACGTACAAACTACTTTATCCCACGAAAGACCCTGCTCTGTGGCAGGGACTGAAAAGCGAGTCTCGCGAACTAAGTTGAGCTACTTTAGTTCCTGGGGCTTTTTGGTGTGAACGCAAATATATCGTAGTTCTGATGAACTATTGTGGGAAAAGTACACCAAAGTACTCCGGTGTGAACGCACCTAATGTCCTCCCAGAGCGTGTCCTTCCTTTGGGCTCTAAATATCTCTGTCCCTTGCAGTGAGCCTCACTCTGCGTGCCACGCTCCAGAGCCAAGGCAAGTTCAATTTGTCACCTTTAGCTTCTCTGGCATAGAGTCCAAAAAAGGATCTGCTGCCGATGTGCTGCAGTTTCTGCCCTCAAATGAAACCATTTGTTGTTGTTTCGAGATGCGTCTGTGTTTGTTTTTCGACAAGGCAGGAGATGGGTGCACCGTTCCCGGAGGCGCTGCAATACCGGGTCGATGCGTGGAGCGAACGGGGCAAGCCCCTCTTTCGGCTCCCAGTGCTAAAAATCCATTTAATATATAGTCCCCGTATAGGGGACGTATCAGATATTAAACTGATAAGAACAGATACTACACTTGATCTTAGCCAAAAGGCCGAGAAGCGATGACCCTTAACGTTTGCTGCAGGAGACGGACTCGTTGCGCAGTCACCGCCGGTCTTGGTGCGGCTCTTTTGACCTGGCATAAGAGAGGCGCTGCGTAACTGGGTTAACCCTAACCCTAACCCTTTTCTTGTCTTTCACAAACTCAGAATGCTCAGCCAAACGGCCAAGCCTACCAAAAATAGGTTGAACTCGTAGGTGTTCCTCTCCACGGAAGTCTTTAGTAAAAGGCGAAAGACTTATACGCTTTGAAGAGAAACCAGAGTAATTGTGGAGGCCGTCCTCGAGAACAGACAGCACCGCAGTTGTCCCAGTCCAATCCCCTCGCGGTGACCCTGACTTGGCTTTTCCACCTCCCAGGCCACACCCTTTCCCCCAGCTGCGCTAGAGCTGCGCGAGCATGGTTCGTGGCTCTCACCTTTGGCTTCTTTGGCATTGAGTCCAAAAAAGACCCTGCTGCTGTGCTGCAGTTTGTGCCCCCGATTGGAACCTATTTCTATTTCAAGACTTATCTGTCTTTAAGGCTTAGGGTTAAATGTGGTTGATGGGCTGCGTTGGCCGGCTCAGAGGCAGGAACCGCCACGCCGTGTCCTTTGTCGTTGCAAGAGTCCCCTGCCTCTGACCCATCCAACTCATACTTACCTGGCAGGGGAGATACCATGATCACCAAGGTGGTTCACCCAGGGCGAGGCTCGGCCATTGCACCCCGGCTATGCTGACCGCTGCGAATTCCCCAAATGTGGGAATCTCGACTGCATAATTTGTGGTAGTGGGGGACTGCGTTCGCGCTCTCCCCTGATTATAGTGTTGAAGAAAATGTCAAAGACAACCTGGCTACAGCTTGCATGTGTGGCAGCTTCTTTGCTCCAGGAAAGACTTTCTGGTGTCAATGTCCTCCCACAGCGTGTCCTTCCTTTGGGCTCTAAATATCTCTGTCCCTTGCAGTGAGCCTCACTCTGCGTGCCACGCTCCAGAGCCAAGGCAAGTTCAATTTGTCACCTTTAGCTTCTCTGGCATAGAGTCCAAAAAAGGATCTGCTGCCGATGTGCTGCAGTTTCTGCCCTCAAATGAAACCATTTGTTGTTGTTTCGAGATGCGTCTGTGTTTGTTTTTCGACAAGGCAGGAGATGGGTGCACCGTTCCCGGAGGCGCTGCAATACCGGGTCGATGCGTGGAGCGAACGGGGCAAGCCCCTCTTTCGGCTCCCAGTGCTAAAAATCCATTTAATATATAGTCCCCGTATAGGGGACGTATCAGATATTAAACTGATAAGAACAGATTTTTTTTTTTTTTTTTTTTTTTTTTTATTATAACAAATCTTCAATTTACATCATTGTTATACACAGTTTACAAACAAGTAAACAAAGGACATTCAATACAAACACATATATCACTTTTACTATATATATCTGGTCTTCACCCCACCAGCCCTAAACCCCCCTTCCATCTTTCCAAAGCGGCGTGTTGTCCCCATTTCACAATGTCCCTCTCCATTCTCCCCTTCAAATCTGCCCTTACTTTTCCTATGATCCCCCTTATGCTGCTGCAGCATTTGTTCTTTACAACATCCTGCCTAGCCAGCCACAGATTTCTCTTCAGCAGGCTTACCACTAGCCAAATGGGGAACATTGCCCAATATTCACCAGGACCCGAGCCCCTTTCGATCCCATCCCATGTCATCTTAAGACCAGGAAAACTCTGTCCTAACCACCCTTCCACTCTTCTCCATGCTCCCCGTGCGAAAGGACAGTCCCACATGACATGTCTGATGGTCTCTTCATCCTTACAGTCTGGCCTAGGGCACACCGGAGACCTTGCCAATCCATGACGGTGCATGATTTCCCGCACTGGCAGGCACCTAAGCAGGCACAGCCAGTTAAGGTCCTTTAGCCTATTGTCTAGTCCCTTCGGCTGGATCCTCCTCCACACTTTGGATGGTATTCCAATGACAGGACCGACATTGATTTTCTCTCTGGCTTCTTTATATAGGGTTCTGTGATTGAGTTTCACCTCTGGCCCGGCAGCCTCCGGGTGAGCCCGAAGCCACCTTGCTGCATGGCGGTAGTGCCATGGCTGCTGTTCCGCTCTGGGCCCCAAATTGCTCCAGGCCATAAGCTCTCTTGCTTGATAAGAAAAGAAAAGGCGGATAAAATAACCAGAAGGATGTACTACTGGGCCTGATACTTCCCTACATAAAGTCGAAACAAAAATGCAGTCCATCTTCAGAGTTAAATGTGGTACATCTCTCCCCCCTGCTTCGACCCCAGCCAGCATGCGGCCTCTTGCCACATACTCGTATCTCCCACCCCATATGAAGCCAAACACGAGGCGCATGAGAGGCCTCCTCATGCTGACCGGCAACGGATATATGTATGCGAGATATAGGAGGGATGGCAATATATCTACCTTCAGCACTAATACCTTCCCTATGAAGGTCAGCTGCCTACTCTTCCAGAGAGACACTTTCCTCTCTACTGCCTCAAGCCGTCTTGCCCAACTCAGGGAAGCACTTTTAGTAGACTCAAAACTGACCCCCAGAACTTTTATAGGCCCTGGGCAGAAAGCAAGACCCCCTGGTGCATCTATCCTTTCTCTCCATTTCCCAAAAAACTTCACCGAGGACTTTGCACAGTTAAGCTTAGAACCGGATGCCCTGCCGAAGTCCTCCATGATTTGCAGAGAACGAATAAGGCATTCATCCCTGTCCAGCAGCAAAGTGGTGTCATCTGCATACTGGGACAGTTTCACCCGTAACCCTCTGCTGCCAGGCACTAGAAAACCTCTGACCCCTGGGTCTGCCCTAATGGCTGCCGCCAAAGGCTCCATATAGAGCACATATAGCAGTGGTGAGAGAGGGCACCCTTGCCTCACACCCGATTGTAACCGGAAAAAATCGCCTAGGTATCCGTTCACTACTACCTTGCTCCCCACGTCCATGTATAATGTGCGCAACCACCTTATAAAGACTTTACCAAAACCTAGCCTCTCCAGAATGCTGAACATAAAACTCCACTGCACCCTGTCGAAAGCCTTGGTCTGGTCAAGAGCAACCAGCATGAGTGGCAGGTTTCTGTCTTCTGCCCAAGCTACAGCATCCCTTAGGAGCTGCAGGTTCCATCTCGTTGAGCGCCCTGGCACCGCACATGTCTGGTCAACATGAACCACATGGGGCATTGCTTCGCCTAGCCTATCAGTGAGAACTTTTGCCAAGAGTTTATAGTCCACACACAGCATGGTCAAAGGTCGCCAGTTACCTATTTCAGTGCGATCCCCCTTCTTATACAGGAGGGAGATCACCCCGGTGGCTAAAGACCCGCTCATTTCTCCTGCCTGCAGTACCTCTGTCAGCACCTCCAACAATACTGGCCCTAATATGCTCCAGAACTTTGCATAGAATTCCACAGGTAAGCCATCAATTCCTGGCACCTTACCCTTGTTCATTCTGTTGAGCGCACCCTCCAATTCGCTAACTGTTAGAGGGACCTCTAAAGCCTGCACTATGTCCCCTGGAACCTGGCGATCCAGCAGTTCCAGGAAATCATCCCCTCTTCCCACATCTTTCTCCTTAAAGCTGTCCCTGAAATGATCCGTGGCAACCCTCACCACCTGGCCCTCTTCTGTCACTACAATACCCTGACTGTCCCTAAACCCTGTCACCACCTGCCTTGCTTTTTTAGCCCGTACCGAGCTGAAAAAAGCAGCAGAACATGTTTCTGACTGCTCAATGAACTCTGAACGTGATCTCGCCAGGAAAGCCCGGGCCTTGCCTTCAGAGACATGTCTGAGCCTTGCCTTCAAAGAGTTGCATACATTTTCATTTATAGTAGAACCACAGTTCCCCTTTGCGTACTCACGCTCTAGGAGTCGCTGCAGATGGGACATCTCCCTCTTTGACCGTCTTGCCTTCCTTTTGCAATAACCTAAGCAGAAGGTCTTAATTCTGTCCTTGGCTACCTCCCACCACTCTAGTATCCCCTGACACAGCGGTTTGAGGCCCAACACTCCCTTAAAAAACAAAGGGAACTGTTGGTTGAAAAACTTTTCCTCCAAAACACTGACATTTAGGCGCCAGTAACCAGGCCCAAAAGTTAGCGCATCCACATCTACTCGAAACAGCAGGCCATCATGGTCAGAAAAGAAAACAGGGATGGTCCTACCTGTGATCAGGTTTAAAGACCTGGAAAAAAACAAATAGTCCAAACGTTTTGCCACGCCTCTTGAGTTACGCCACGTGGGGCTGTCTATGTGTGGCTTGACCCCCTTACCCCCATCTGCCAACCCATATCTAACCATGAGTTGTGAAATATACTGGTCGCTGGCATCCCCTCCCTTCCCCAGCTCAACATTAAAATCACCCCCTATAATTACCTGTCTATTGGTAACAAGGAAAGGCTCCACTAATGAAAACAGATTAGTCCGCTCTGCCGGTGACTGTGGTCCATATACCACAATGACCCGCAGCTTCCTTGTTCCCCAAACAATGTCTGCCCCTATTGCCCTGCCCTGGTCAATAACAAAAACATCCTCCACCCTTATTTCCTTAAAACAAAACAAAATCCCAACCCCCGTAGAGTGAACCCCCCCTACACTCCAAACTGAGTCCCCTTTCGTCCACTCCCTTGAAAACATCCCCACATCCCCCATGTCTCTCAGATGGACCTCTTGCAAAAAAACTATGGCAACATGCAAAGTGCCTAAAAAATCAAAAACAGTCCTTCTTTTAACAGTGTTCCTCATTCCTCTCACATTCAAAGTGAGAACATCAAAATAACGTGTCATGAGGATGAAATGTTAAGCCTTAACAAAGGAAAAATTACCCACTCCATTTTCACGATGCATAGGGGTCTTCACTGAAACTGTCCATCTGGTCGGCCCATAACACAGGAACCACACTTGAAGAGGTGGAGGGACTCACAACGCCCCCTTGTGTGTCATCCCCCAAGGGAGGTGGCTGCAGCAGTGGAGCAGCCGGCAGCCCCCGGTCCAGTGGCAAACCAGACTGGAGCCCAACCCCTACAACCCCTGGGTCCTCCCCCACCATCCCTCCACCCAAACCATGGCCATCGTCCGCTTTACCCCTCCCCTGGTCACTGTCCTTCCCTGGCCCCTCCCTCTTCTGCTGCCCATCTCCTTCATCCACCACCGCCACCACCTCTTTGGCCCGCCCCTTCCTCCTCGTCCCCTCTGTCTTTGGCCTTTTACTGTCTCCGACCTGCGAGCAGTCCCCATTGTCTTCTGGAGCCTCTGTTCCGAAAGCCTCCTGTATTTTACGTATCCCAGGCTTGACCCCCAAATCGGCTGCTACAGTTGAGTCCGTATTCCCCGCAGGCCCTCGGCCCACGCTGTCAGACCCCGAGCCGCCGCCCGGTACCCGCTCCACCGCCGCGGCCTCCCCCGTGCCCACCGGAAACATATTCTTCTGGCACTGGATAAGCCCTTCCAGAAGGTCCTCGAACTCCGTTTCCCTCCGGTTGTTGGCCCCGGCTACCTCCGCAAACGTCCTCCTACGCTCAGGACAGCTTCTGTATAGATGGTCGATCCCACTGCAGCCATGGCAGGCCTTGGGCACTGTACAGTCTTTGGCCTCATGTCCTCTTTGGCCACAAAAACGGCAGCTGGCGCCAGCGCACCCTCCCTCAACGTGGCCTGATTGCCTGCACCGCCTGCAGAAAGCTGGCTGACGCGGGTAGAAAAGGTACCCTCGATCTGCTCCAAGGCTGAAGGAGGCAGGCGGGTGCTTGAGGCCGCCAAAACCCTCTGGCTCAGCTTTAAGAAGCACCTGGAACTGCCTTCGACCTGTCCAGATCCCCATGGTGTCCTTGACATGTCTTGCAGCAGTTAGCACTTCCCCATACAGCCTCAAAAAATCAGCCAGCGCTCTGTCAGTCACAAAGGGATTAAACATGTGGACCGTGATTGTCCTGAAATTTGGTCTGTCCAAATTTAAAACCTTGTAGCAGGCTAGCGGCTTTACCATAGCAGCAGCAACACAGTCCTTAGCAACCTTTGTGTATACTTGCTCGTCCTTTAGGGTGACGTCGAAAG